GCACCAGCCTCCACTGTTTGAACCCTTGGCCGTTCTGGCTGAGGGACTCCCTACCCTCCCATAAGAGCTTCTGGAACGCGGGCCTTAGTCCCCCAGCAACTTTATTGCTTTGCGCTGTCAAGGTCTTTACCTATCTGGGGGTTTGCTCCTAATGCAATCCAGGCCCTTCCCCAAGGCCTGCTAGCACGCCTGCAGTAGCTGCATTGCATACCAGCCTCACCAAACATCTTGTGTGTCCTACATCACCCACTTCTGAGTGCTGAGCTGCATCCTGGCTTCCCACTATTCAGAAGCCTCTTTTTCTAGGGACCTTTTCCAGCCCCGCCCCCACCACCAAACTGTTTCCTGTTTTCCCCACTTACCCTTTGCCCTCTCTCCTAGTGCATGCCTGGCAGTATTTTTTTTTTTTCAATTGTGGCGAAATATGCAACGTGAAACTTGCCATTCCAGCACTGAAAGATGACGCCGGAGGTGCCAAGTATGGCCATCACAGCCATCCCTCTTCAGAGCATTCTTATCTGAACCCACTGTGCAGCCTCCACTCCCTTCTCCCCTGCCCCTGGGCAACATCCTCTGCCCCTGGGCAACCTCGATCCACTCTCTGGTTTTATGAATTTGGCCGCTCTAGAAGCCTCCTATCGATGGAGTCAGACAGGACTTGCTTCTTTGTGTCTGGCTTCTCTCACTTAGCACGCAGTGTCCCCCAGGCTCACCACTATGAGCATACATCAGAATTTGCTTCCTTTTCAGACTGAATAACATTCTGTACTATGGACCATATTTGACTTATTTGCTGGATTGTTTCTACTTCTTGGTCTTCACCAACCAAGGTGACCATAAAGATCACTTCCAGCACCTGCTTCTACTTCTTTTGATTATTGTGGAACTGCTGGATCATTGGTAATTCTCTGTCTGAACCTGTTTGGCAGAGGGCTGCACCATTTTACACGCTCCACCAGCAGTGTGCAAGGGTCTCTCTGGCCTTGCATCGTCACCAGCCCCTGTTGTTTTCCGGCTTTTTGATGCCAGTCATCCTGCAGGGTATTAAGTGATATTCTGATTCTGATTTGGTGAGGCAATACTGTGGTTGACTTCTTAGAAGCTGGAGCCAGTGGTGAGTTGAAGAATATGTAACGTCTGCAGTACACAATGCCTCTCTGTGCTCTATGCACTGCCATAGAGTTACTGAGCTTCGGGCAAGGGGCTGGAGATTGACACACACAGACACACAGACAGACAGAGACACGGACCTCTAGTCACTGGTAAGAAGCCCTCTATTCAATAGCATCATGGAGGCTTATATACCCAACACAGTCAAGTGGGCCAACAGGTGAAAATCTTGTCCTCTGATCCTTTGCTTCTTGTGAAGCAGAGCTGGTAAACAACTTTGACACAGCTTTCAGTAACTCAAATCAGAAGGAAAGTAAAGATCTCTAGCAGGGAAGAGCAGCTGGAGGCCGAACTTCAAATGGTCCCAACATTGGTCATGCCTGTGTCAACTGTCACTAGCCAGATGATGTTGAAGGAAGGCTGCCTGCTGGTTCCTGGCTGCTCAGCCCAGAAATAATCACACTAAAACTGTATTATTTAAATCACTGCTTGACCCATTAGCTCTAGCTTCTTATTGGCTAACTCTTTCATCTTAATTTAACCTATTTCTAGTAATCTATGTATCATAACGAGGCTGTGGCTTACCAGCATCCATCTCTAGAGGGGCTATATGACTTTTTTCTCTCTCTAAGCCTTCCTTCCCCCACCATTCAGTTTAGTTTTCCCTGCCTACCTAAGTATTGTTACCTAAGGTAGACAATACCTTAATCAAGAGCAGAAATATACATATAACAAAATTGACCTTAAATTTGTATCAATAAACCAAGATCGATACCAATGTAAATCTCTATAGCATTTCCCCCTTTAAATGTAAAGAAACATATATAAACAATATTGAGAATATGGACATAGTTCTCTTCAAACTTCTTTCTGATTTTTGTTGGGTGAAGTATTTTGGGGGTTATTTACAGTGACCTTTCAAGGTGTCTTGGTCCATCAAATCATATTAGTCTGGAAGGATTCCACAGGCTCTCATCTTCTGTGGAAACAAAAGAAGAACTTCTTTTCCAAAGCAACATATTCTTAGACCCAAATTTTGAATTCAAGATACCTTTAAAATATAGGTGTTGGTTTAGCTTAGCAGTCCCCAGAATCAAATGTCTCTTTGCAGTCAAAAAAATAAAAGAAAACACAATAGTATACACAATCCAGACTCTCTGTGTATATTCCATCTTTACATGGCTTATTCTTTATTTACTCCTTTTAATCTATGACTGTCTGGACTCTGTCTCTTTAAAGACTTTACTTTTTTTCAAACCATTTACTTCTTTTTATAACTGTCAATATTCTTTTTCTTCTTTCTCCCAAGCCTACATACATTTATCCAACATTGTGACCCATTTAGAGGTCTTTTATGTCTGAATGTGTCCTATTGTGTATCTGTAATTCTTTACTGTTCAGGAGCACTTCTTAAAATGTGAAGCACTTTTTAAAAACTTAAGATGTGGCATTACTAGGGTATATATGGTACTGACTGCTTCCCCCCCCCCCAGTCCAGCATGGTGAAGCTGTTCACTGTGTCTGAGCCACCACCAGCCCAGTTGCAAGTATATAACAGGTCTATGTGGAGCCAGTAAGCAGTTTGTAACAATTTGTTTACAAACCCTATTTAAATGGCCAGCCTCCTGAAAGAGCCAGAATTCTCACTGGCAGCACAGCCCAGGAAGCCAGCATTTCAAAACAGCTCAGCTTTTTTTTTTCTGCTACCACTGAATCAGGAAAACCTCTCTTAAAGGACCATGCTTTTGCTTGCTTCTAGCAAACAGAGCCCACCCAAGAAAATGCCGCTACCAAAAAAAACATGCTTAACTTTGTTCTTTTGTGTCTAGGATTCCTTTTTAAACTTTCTCAGGTTTTTATGTAGATGTAGTTACCCATGTTGGCATACCAATTTGTTGAAGGAAGGACACTTGTTGGCTCCTAGCTGCTCAGCCCAGAAATAATCACACAGAAACTATATTATTTAAATCACTGCTTGGCCCATTAGCTCTAGCTTCTTATTGGCTACATCTTACATCTTAATTTAACCCATTTCTAGTAATCTGTGTATCACCATGAGGCTGTGGCTTACTGGATAAAGTTCCGGTGTCTGTCTCTAGCAGGACTACATGGCTTCTCTCTCTCTCTGCCTTCCTTCTCCCACCATTCAGTTTAGCTTTCCCAGCCTACCTAAGTTCTGCCGTCAACAGGCCAAGGCAGTTTCTTTATTCACCAATGGTATTCACAGCATACAGAGGGGAATCCCACATCAAGATGACTGAGAGACTAAAGCAGTGAATCTTGGTGAAGGTATTTTTCTGTAGGCAGGCCTCACCCATACTGCCATTCAGAGGATAGCTTCTCAGGTCTAGGCATGGGTCTCCAGTGGCTGAGCTGGGCCAAGGGGACAAGTCTTTGTACCTTTTCCTGGGATTGTCATTTGCTTTCAGATGACCTTTAAACTATTTCTTGAACAGATAATAGTCACAGATAATGGGCCCCTTATCTGGGTCTGGGTCAAAGTCATCAGCATGCTGCACAACCCATTAGCATTAATTATTAGTTATAGTAATATTTTGGTTTGTTGGGAGGGCCACAGGCTATGAAGACCAGGCTGTCCTCTAACTGGTAATCCTTCTGCGAGTTCTGAGATTACAGATGAGCACTGTCATAAACAGCTTCACATAATACTTGGTCTTGGTCCCCTCTGCTTTTTCTAAGTCAGATCTCAGTGACCAAAGAGTGATGAGTCCCCTTTGCTGGAAGTTTGTAAATGGGTCTTGTCCAGACCCTAACGCTGAGAAAAGACAGTGATGGTGTTAGGCCAGACGAGACCTGGGTGGGAGGAGAAAAGGGTAACCGAGACAGCAGAGCTCTTGTCCCAGCCCTATCATCTAGTCCACGACCCTCACTTTTCCTCTCCAGCAGACTCTGGGGTCCCCCTGCCTCAGGGCCGTGCCTCTGGAAACATCATAAGTAGGAATTAAACTGATTCCATTAGTGTTAGTGAAAACCCCATAGAGCGAGAATAGTGACATCAGTGATTTCCATTGGCCAGAACGAGGCAGAAATAAAAGGAATCTGGAAAAGATCCCTCAAGCCCCTCAAGGCCTTGGAAAGCCGACAACGCTGACTGTTTAGTGTGGACCAAATTGAAAGCAGAGACATGGAAGCAGCCGCCAAGCCTGACAAGGTCCAAGCCACAGGAACCGTGGCATCCAAAGTCCAAGCTGGGATGACTGGAGCCCTTCAAGGAGGGCTTCCAGGTGCAGCCTAGTTCCCTGATCTGTAACATGCGAGGGCCTCCAAATCCCCTTGTTTTCAGAGTCTGTGATTCTTCACTTGTTCTTAGCCAAAAGGCCAAAAAGCATTAAGAATCTCTGATTCTGGGGAGCTGCCCAGGTGTGCTCAGGTCACTGAATATCTTTGGCAGCAAGTCCTTCGATGTGCTGGGGTGCTGGGATCATTCAGAAGTGAAGGATTAGGGGGTCATGACCCAAGGAAGACCAGAGCCAAGGCTGGCGGTGGCAAGAACTCTGGGTTTTGACTGTGGATTCCTTCTTCCAGCTGGGCAGTGCTGTGCTCCAAGGCTGCAGTACTGATGTGCGTGTTCTGCCCTCTACCAGCAGCAGTAGAGGAGGAAGAAGGACTGCTCCTGCCCCCATCTTGGGCAGAGCTGCTCCTGATGCAGGGGCCACAGTCCCCCTTACTCCCACCTCAGTTCCTGTAGTTTCTTCTGCCAGTCAAGCAGAAGAATATTCCTCAAGCACCTTGTCCAGTTTTCCTATTCCCTGACCCTCGTTCCCTCCCCCCGGGATATGAAGAAAGGACAAGGCGAGGGCAAGATTGGAGGACAGATGGCGGAAGCAAGAGGCCAGGGTGGTGGTGACCCGTGGGCATGCTCATTGCAGGAAACAGCAGCCGCCTTCAGGCCGACCTTTGCCAGAAGCATTTGCCGGACCTGCCCCCCAGCAAGTGCCATAACACCGTGCCAGACACGCAAAAGGAGACCAGCAGCATGTGGACCCTGATGGTGATTGCTCAGCTGCTGGCCGGCATTGGGACTGTGCCCATTCAGCCGTTTGGGATCTCCTACGTGGATGACTTTGCAGAGCCCACCAACTCCCCTCTGTATATCTGTGAGTCTTGAGCTTTAAGAGGGCTGTGAGGGATGGGAATCTGGGGCCTCATGTAGCACCTGCAGAAGCTCTTGGGGTTAAAATGGGGTCTGATCTTCTTAGCTCACAATATGGTGGATGACAAAGACCTGTTATGAATGCCAGTTCTGTTTCCGTCCACTTGTGTGGGTCTCAGGTCTCCAGGCTCTCACCTGGGAGGCAGAGCCAAGATTCTTTGTGTGTCCCATGTGCTTTGGGATTATGGGAGCTGATGTGATCACCATTTAGCACTGTTTTGAGCCTTTGACATCACAACATGCATGACATTGTGTTCTACCAAGTTCACACTAGAGAATCATAGAATTGAGTTCTTCAAATGCAACAACAACAAGACACATAATGTTTTAAGTAAGATTAAAATGTGTATTGGGTCACATTTGTAGCTATCCAGGAGACCATGTGGCCTCTGGGCCACGGGTTTAGATCCTCCACAAGTCACTCAGTCCTCCAGGCTCATGCTGGATGATACATGACTTCTCTGAGCTGTGAACAGGTTGTCATGTGTGAAGCGGGTAGCAGATGGCCAACTGGTGCCTGAGTTCTTCCCTCAGAAAAAGCCACACTGAGCTCTCTCAGGGCCTCAGGTCACAAACTACATCTCCAACCCTATCTTCTCTCGCCACAGCCCCAGCACTGTACACAGAAAGCTTCACCCACTAACACGCCCTGGACTGGTATTTTTTAAGATACGGTGGAGGCAGGTTCATTTCAGGCCGGGAGATCTCTCTGGCAGGAGCTGGAGGAGCAGCAGGCTCGGTGCTGCCAGCCTTGGCATCTGGCCTTTATCTGCAGGAGATGTGATAGGCGTGGGCTTCAGGAAGTGACCTAGGCATGGTGGGCTCCTTACTCCCAGGGGACAGTGGGTGATACCTCGGGAATCTCCCTCAGTTTGAGAAACTAGGCTTGCTGAGCATTCTCAATGTCCCCTCAACCCCTTATCCCTTGCTTCAATTTCCAGCCATCTTATTTGCTATCGCTGTGTTTGGACCAGCTTTTGGATACCTGCTGGGCTCAGTCATGCTCAGGATCTTTGTGGACTACGGCAGGGTGGACACTGGTAGGTATGCAGAAGGCACACATTCTTGTCACCTTTTTGCTGCGGCTTCTGATTTAGCTCCTCCATCTAGAGACAAGCAGTGGAGCTCCCACACCATGTAGGACGATGCCTGTCCTGAGTGACTGGAGATCATTCAGCCACTTTCTTCCAGAAAAAAAAAATAAATAAAAGGTACTGTCTCCATGTTTGATGTCAAGGAACACAATGGAGACTTCTAGATGGAGTGTGGGCAGATTTTCAGGGGATTGGAGGACAGGCCACCCACCGTGTTGATGGCTATATACTTGGGCAACTAAGAATTATAGACCTGCCTTTCTTAGGGTTCCTCAAAAGTAGGGTGTAAAATGGAGCTCAGAGCTCAGTGGTTAAGAGTATAGGTTAGGGTACCAGGAAGACAGGTCTGAAATTGACTAACAGACCAGGGATTTGGTTTTCTGATTCGTTGGAGGAAGTCAGATGTACGTAACAGTTCCCCCACTGACATGCTAGAGGAGACCGTAGGATGATGGAGATGAAGTATGTAGTACCTGAACCACGCCAGCCCTCTGGAGACCAGATCATTTCACCATTATTCCCGCCAACAGCTAAGGAAGAAGCACAGTATGAAGGGGGGGGGGGGCTGGGCATTCTCTAGTGTCTGACTTTCTGTACAATGGTCCGGGTGGTCTGGGAAGACCAGAGAGGCCTGGCGAGGGAGTGTCGTGACCACGGTCCTACACCATGGGGTGTCCTGTCACCATTATGGGAAGAAAGTCAGGGAGACACCCCTTGAACTGAAAGTCCCTTTCTAGTCTGGAGAGAAAGCATGTGTTCCACCAACAGACACTTTCATCCTTTGATTTCTTTCTAGCGGCTGTGAACTTGAGCCCAGGTGACCCCCGATGGATCGGAGCCTGGTGGCTGGGCCTGCTCCTTTCTTCAGGCTTCTTAGTTGTTACTTCTTTGCCCTTTTTTTTCTTCCCTCGAGCAATGCCCAGAGGAGCGGAGGTAAGTTTCCCAGAGCCCATGACTTAAGTACAGTACGCGGGGTGGGGAAACGAAAAGCTGGGAAGCTGCAGCTGCTTCCGCGCACTGGGTGAGAAGGTGGTGACAAGTCTGGGGACACAGGGCTCATCAGAGACTGAGAGGAGGTGCCCCTCAGTAGTCTCCTACCATGATGTCATTTCAAAGACCAGAGGGTTCCAGGGAGCATAGTGTGGGAACCCCTGTGTCCACCTAAGCTGAGCTAAAGTGTTAGGAAACAGTAACAATGGGATGGGGGATAGAGAGCTATCTCAGTCCATAAAGGGCTTGCGGGCAAACGTGAGGACCAGAGCTTGAGCCCCACAGTATCACTTTCTAAAATGTCAAACATGGTGCTGTGTAATTGCGACCCCAGGCTGAGGAAGCAGAAAAATGGGAGGATTCCTTGGGGTTTCCCAACCGGCCAGGCTACATGGGGACCTCCAGGCCACTTAAAGATCTTCTCTTGAAAAAACAAAACCAAAATGGCAGGTGCCTGGAGGATGACACCCAAGGTTGTTCTCTGCCCTCCACATGGATGGACACACACAGATTCTCATACACGCTGAGCAGGCAGCGAGGCTCAGTTGACTTCTATGTTTGATAGAGCTTACTAAGGTTTGAGCCTGAAAGCCTGGGTTAGAAAGGGAATCTGAGGCATGAGGTGCAAGGATGCGTTGAGGGCGGCATGTTTTTAGCAGGGCTGTATCTGCTGTGAAAGGGAACGAGGAAGTTGAGAATGGGGACTGGGTGGAGCCTTTATGTGAGGCTGAAATGCTTCACGTTTTCTCCTGTGAGTTCCAGGCAGTGGGGTGACTGGGCACAGTGGTGACTCCCCAGCCACCTAGTGACAATATGGCAGTAGGCTGAGGTTGGGATTCATGAAGGAATGGAAGTTGGAGATCTGAGAGGCTCAAGAAAAGATGGAAAATATGGCTAAGGGCCAGGGCAATGACCACCAGAGAGATGGTGCCAAGGTCAGGATGGTTGTTCCTGAGGGGGTGATGCAAAGACTTGGCTGTGGATTGAGTTGGAGCTCATGTATCCGGGATTTGAGACAGAATGGGCCCCACTGTGGGAAAGGGGTCATGAGTAGAGGAAGCATTTACAAGGTTATGACATATTTTGATAGGCTAGGTTAGACAGATCTAAGCTTGAAGACTTCCACTCATAAACTAGTTGAATGATCTTAGCTAAATTGCTTTGTTTCTAAGCTTCCTCTCCTGTAGCATTCTTGGGGGTAATTAGAGAACCTGTCTGGGAAGGAAGCTGTGAGGAAGGAGGCAATGCAGGGGGAATGATGGGCATGTTGCCCAGAGTAGAGCAGGTGCTCAGTTAATGGAGCACCAAAGAATGCCAACGGTAGAGCACAGGCCTACGTCTATGCAGTGGCTCAGGGAGAGTCACGGCCTCTGTCTTGAGCTGCTGGCTTCAGAGACTAGCAAGGGCACTTGGGTAATGTGCCCAGAAGGCACAGGTGATAGTTAGGACAGAGCCTGGACTCACCTTTGGACTAGGGAGAAAGCAGAGACCCTAGAGAGGACACAGAAAGGGAGAGCTGAAAAGAGTAGACATTGGAGACCCCTGTTGTCCGAGAAACCAGCCATCCCTGGGTCTGCATATGGGACACAGTATAGTCCTGACATACAGACAAGGGGTAAGATCCAGGACGATGCTTTTGGCCTCAGTCATGGGAAAGTCAGATGAAATAACATGCCCTTAGGTTCTGTGGGAGGTGTTGGCATGGATTAACTCTGGTCTCCAGCCAAGGCACCAGGCTCATTAAAGCGCAGGTGGTGTTTGCTTCAAGAGTGCATCCTCAAGATGCCCTCCCGTGCATCCACGTGGTCCTGGAGCCACCGAGTCCAGAGAGTCAAGGGCACAGGGATGGGCCATTAACATCACCATGTTTGCTGCTTTCAGAGGTCTGTTACCGCAGAAGAAACACTGAAGATGGAGGAAGACAAGTCAAGAGGCTCCCTGATGGATTTCATTAAACGTAACTGACTGCCCCAGCAGCCTTGGGTGGGCTGGTTCTGGGTGGCAGGAGACCAGGTTCAGGGTACAGGGCAACAAGAAACAACAAGATCTGGGACTGCCTCACCTCCTAGGTGCCCCCTCCATTTAGAGGACTTCGGTCAATGATTCTGGTAGCTGGTTCTTTACAGGCACCAGTAGATGCTAATCCAGGCAGAGCCAATCACCACCCCAAGCCTCCACTTCCATTCTCTCCTCTTCACTTCCTGTAGAGGTGGCAGTTGTGGGAGGAGACCTTTCCTAGTGTGAGCCCAGTTTCTATGCACCTACCGCCAGCATCGTCTTAGTCAGACCACAAGAGTGCTGAGTGGGAAATCCAAGGACCGTATGCCCCTGGGATGATGACTGTGAGCCTGAGGGTCTCTAACTGTGCCCCAAGGAAGAGAGGAAGCTTGCCTAGGGTTCTGGTAAGGCTGTGGGAAGCCTGTGATGCTCTTACCAAGGCCTGTCCCCTGACAGCCATCTACCTGCAGGGTTCCCCCGCATCTTCCTGAGGCTGCTGATGAACCCACTCTTCATTCTGGTGGTCCTGGCTCAGTGTACCTTCTCCTCTGTCATCGCTGGCCTCTCTACGTTCCTCAACAAGTTCCTGGAGAAGCAGTATGGGGCCTCAGCCGCCTATGCCAACTTCCTCATCGGTGTGTCAGAGGGCGCAGCTGCAGGACCTGGGGGGTGCCCCCTGGGGAGGAACTGGGTACCGTGCAGTCCATCCAAGGATAACCCAGGGCCAGACCGGATACAGACCGGAGACAGGAGGACTTGCCCAAGAGAAAGAATTTTAAGGATTTTTTTCCTGGTTGGCAACCTAGAATGTTTTTGGCAGATTTCTAAGACTCCTATTCTTCTATTCAGGAGTGGGTGGAGACTGGGGGCTGCCTTCCTTCCCATCAAGAGGGTGGGAATCTGATAGCCTCCCAACTGACCTTATCAGGGGCAACAGAGGAGAGAGAGAACGTGGAGCTTGGGACACACAAAACACCTCTTAAGGGGTTTCCTTCTCCAGGAACTTGAGTCTCAATGTCATGACACATCAGGTTCCTTCACACAATGGCAATGCAAATGCTCAGCGCCGCCCGGATAAGTGAACCCAGAATCTGTGGAGGAGGTGCCCGTACTTCTTGCAGTAGATGCTAAGAACCACCAATGGGGGGGGGGGTTCCACCAAGTGCCTGGGTGATGCCTGGGGCCAATCCATAGATGAACTTGACCACAGATAGATTTGACAAGATAATATCTCACTGAGCTCCGGTGTAGGCTTTAGATAGGACATTATTATCTCCCCTTCCATCTCAGACTTGGTTACCACCCAAAAATGATCCACTTCCTTATCCTTGTTACCGTCCTCTTGTTTCTTATTTTGTTTCTTTGAGACAATGCCTACAGCAGTTCAGGCGAATGATAAACATGCTAAGTAGGGGAGGGAGACCTTGAATTCCCGATCCTCCAGATTCTGCTTCCCAAGTGTTCCCAAGTGCTGGGATTGTATGTGTCAAAGGTTGACTGCTTCTTTTTTCTTTGATCAGCCAGGCCAACCCTCTAGTGAAGCAATTTCTCAGGATGTACCCAGTCAACACTCAATAGTTAATAATTCTTGGTAGTCATTCACTACTATCGTAATCAAGTATACCCAGTGTTCCTTCATGAAGCGGTGCTCCTCACTGGTGGCGCAACTCAGGGCTCCTGGGCTGTGTATCCAGCTCCTCTCCTTCTCCCCCAGGTGCTGTGAACCTTCCTGCTGCGGCCTTGGGGATGCTGTTTGGAGGAATCCTCATGAAACGCTTCGTTTTCTCCCTGCAAACCATCCCCCGAGTGGCGGCCGCCATCATGACCATCTCCATGATCCTCTGCGCCCCTCTTTTCTTCATGGGATGTTCCACACCAGCGGTGGCTGAGGTCTACCCCCTCAGGTAATGAACTAAGGGACGCAGAGATACCTTCGTAACCGCAGCCAGAATCCAGTCACTGTGTGTCTTTCTGCTCTGCCTCTTTTTACCTCCGCTGTCCTGTCTACTTGGATCTGATCTCTGACATGGAAACACAGAAAACCAGGTCTCAAAGAGTGTGTTCCATTAAGAGATGAGACCAGCGGTGGTCGAGGTTAAGGTTCTGTTTTGTAAGAAGCATCACAAACTGATGGGTTTGCTTTCTGAATGAGCCTGAACCCTAGGAGCCAGGAAATAATCTATGATAGGTGCAAGCCCTGGGCTAGCTAGAGTTAGGTAGAACCTTGTTGATCTGTCAAAGAAAGATGAGAAGACTTGAAAAGATTTCGAGACGAGCAATGAAAGTGGGTCAGAGAGGCAAAGGGCAGGTCCAGGTGCCAGTATTTGTAAAAAGCAGCATGCATCATGCGTTTAAAGTAAAGTTTCATCTTCAGAAAGGGTGTTTCAACCCTGTGAGCAAGGGACATGCACAATCCCCCACCCCACCCCCAACCCTCTCGCTTCAATAACCGCCTCGCGACCTTTTCTTTAGAACGGAGGCTAAGGAGTTTGCAAGATTTGGAGAGTCTTTTAGCCTCTGAGTGTTCTTTTTCTCATAGAGAGCTACATCTCCAAATATAGCAACAGCATCAGGCAAAGACCAAAAGAATAAATAGTTTGAGATGACCTCTGTATTTGAGGGGTGAGGGAGGAGATGGGAAACAAAGGAAGAGAATGTTGCTTAGCATGGGGAACTCCCTACTGTTGTGCAGGCTGACTCTGGACCCAGAGAAGCCTGAAAGCTCTTGGGGCCTTTAGGAGGTTTTCACTGGGAGTTTGGTCCCAGCTCTGTCATCTGCTTTGCTTGAGTTCTAGGTATGATGCTCTTCGTTGCTATGGGAATGTTATCTACCTAAGCTCTAGTTTTCTCATCCTCTTAAGAAGCATGATTTTTCTAGGCTTAGCATGATTTTTCTAGGCTTACTGAGGTGGCTATACCTGAAGATCCCCTTCCGCTGTGACATCCCATAAATGCTAACAGTCACTAGCATTGTTTCATCAATGCCCTATTCAGCTGTGATCTGTCAGTCCCTGTCACAAGTTCCCCAAAGAAGATCAATAAGATCAATCATTGAAATCCACTTTGATGAAGTTCTGGCCAATAGGGAGACCCAGATCAGCAAGTCCATATTGAACCAGGAGATGAGCAGGCAATGAGAATCTCAGGTGCCTCCAAAAGGTCCCAGCCACTGCCTTTAACCAAAGCTTAGCTGGAAGATGAGAGAAGGCAAGTATTACCAATGACGTTACTCCATTTCTTTCAACGGAGTCTTAATCAGTTGGTCACTTTGACTCTGACAGTGGCATTGGGGTTTGCTGGCTAGACCTTTCCAACCGAGTAATCAGTGCGTCTGGGCTCCAGCGTTAACATAAATGGTGAGAGCCATGGTTTCCAAACAGTGGCAGATTCGCAACTGGCCCCCACGGGCTCAGTTCAGATCCTTGGGTGGCAGTGGCCCAAGACAAACAGAGACATGCAGGCACATCCACCGGGCCAGGAACTCATGCTGGGCTGGAGTGTAGCGCCGTTTCTCGGTCTCGCTTTGTTTGATTCCTCGCTTCCTGTCTCGCTGGCAGCACATCAAGTTCTATACATCCGCAGCCTCCTGCCTGCCGCAGGGATTGCTCGTGCCCAGATTCCATCTTCCACCCAGTCTGCGGAGACAATGGAGTAGAGTACCTCTCCCCTTGCCACGCTGGCTGCAGCAGCCTCAACCTGACGTCAGCAGCTTCCAAGCAACCGGTAAGGACGCGGGGGTCACGGGGGCAGAAGGAGCCGCACGGAGCGTGGGGGCTCAGTGTGTAACCTCCAAAGCTGTTCCTTGGCTCTGCTACTCAATATCAGCATCCTAGCCTCCTCCACCCTGTCTCCACCTTCACTGCCCCAGGGTCATGACCAGATGCCTGCAGCCCAGAGTCAATTAAAGATTGGCCCGTGACCAACAAGTCCATTCTTGGGGACTTGGTGAAACAATAAAAAACACGTTGAAGTATTTGCCCTCAGTGGAGACTTGTGACTATACTGATGACTCCCTGGGGGCACTTCTGCGTTCTGGGCTCAGGCCTTGCTGCAGGGTCACATGGACTGGGAGCAGAGGGACTTTGAGACATGGACCCGGAAGGTCAGTCCTGGGAGCAGCAGTCGAGGGCCTTTGCTTCAACCCCTCAGCTCCCTTGGGTACCATGGATCTGGTCTGAAGCCAGGAAACTATGAGCAAATCTGGGATTAGAAGCAAAAGCCCTGCCTCACCTGGAGTTCAAGACCATAGGGTCTCCTTATTGGGCAACCTAGAGGGGCCCCATCCATCAATCTGTGAGGGCAGTGTCCCTGGGCCTTCTGGCCTCAGACAACAGGGAATGATTCCTCCAGTTATTAGTTTATGAATCAGCAAACAGAACAACACACTGAGTGCAGCTGCTATGCTGAGGAAGAGACGAGGAGCTTACGACAAAGCCCCGTTCTCACAATTTACATTCAGTCCAATAGATGCACAAGATAAAGGCTGAGGTGAGAAGGAAAGACACTTGAAAGCACAGAGAGTATGGGGGGGGTCCCTAAGATGACTGACACCTGAGCAACCAGCAGAGGAATCCTGCGGAAGCCCGAAGCCCATGGCAAGTGCGGGAAAAGCAGGCACAGAGCCCCCTGTGAATGCACCGCAGGAAGAGAGAAGGCCGGGTGGGGGTTAAGTGAGGAGTGTCACAGCTAGCAGGGCCAGGGCCAGGCAGGCCCAGTGCTGGGCAGGGCTGGGCAAACCGGGTTCGGGGGTTAGATGATCTTTCCCCAGAGAGAGCAATGGGAAGTCTACACCATTGCCTTCGGATGGCCCAGTAGCAAGGATGCATTTGTGTGGTGGCCATCACCCAGGGTAGCTTCCACTTACCACCTCTTCCTAGGAGAGGACAAGACCATTTCCCCAGACACCTCTATGGGTCCCTTGGCAAAGGAACATGCCAAGATGGTCCCTTAATTTACCTTCTAACTGGAAGAGTAGCGGCTTCTGTGGTCTTCTTATCTTTATTTGCTTACGTCTGACTCATCTACTTCCAGAAATAATCTTGACAAGCTTCCAATAACAGCACAAGTACATCAAGATAAAATCCATTACCATGATATCAAGGAAAAAATAATAAATTGTAAGGGGAAAAAGTCTTGCTAGTTTAAAATACAGACCAAGGGAGGTAACAGCAGTATTGTGTATTATAAACTTCTGAACTTGAGAGCCAAGGTGGGGCGGGAGCATGGGTCCCGCTGTCTGACAGAGGGAAGCTTCCCAGCCCATTAGTTCGCATAGCTCCGTGACGGCTACAGCTCTGACCGTATCCTAGGCCTGGCCATCAGCTACCGTAAGGGGGAAGGTAAAGATGACCAGATGAACAGTGGCCATCAAGTGAGTTGTACAATGGTATTGAGCCATATAGAATTACGACAAGGCAGGGCCTCCTCTGGGGTCCCCTCTTAGGCCAAAGGATGCCTCCTCGGTGGGAAGTGATACAGAGGGTTCAAAGGACTCCATTGTTGTTTCCTGGGCTCCCCAAGTATATCTTCGCACAACCACTACAGCTAACTGGACCCGGAGGAGAGCTCTCCCAGGCTCTAGGCTCCTTGCTGCAGGTATTTTGCCTGGTGGTGAGATCTTAGGCATCTAGATGATGATAAGAGACTGCAGGAGTTTAGCCCATGCTGGACTCTTGGTGACGATCGTTTCTAATGCCCAAACAGTAAGAGAGGTGGCATCCCACGGGGTACTCTAGAAGCCTTGTCTGGCCTCTCAGTCTTTGAATCCAGGCTCCCCCTTCTTCCCTGGGGACTGGAGGGCAAAGGGGTTCATACCAGTGGGAGTCTGCAGCAGGAGCCTGTGTGGAGGTGGGGACATGTGGAGGTAGAATCATGACGTACCCCCCCCTCCTGTTCTTCGTCAAGAGCTATTTGAACTGCAGCTGTGTGACTGGAGGGTCTGCGTCAGCAAAGACAGGATCCTGCCCGGTGTCCTGTGCACACTTCCTGCTCCCGTCCATCTTCCTCATCTCCTTTGTGGCGCTCATCGCCTGCGTCTCCCACAACCCGCTCTACATGATGGTGCTTCGGTGAGTGACGTCTCTGATCTTCCCCGCCCTCTCTTTGATGTTCCATCCTGTCTCTGCTTGGGGTCTCTCCTCCAATCCCTCGAGTGTCCAGTGGTGACAGGGCGACAGAGTACACTAATAGCAGGTGTTCCTGGTCCCAGGAGGAGCTCCTGGTAAGGAGGCCTCACTCAGGCCCCCAGCACCTAGGAGACTATTCGTGGGATGGCAGAGCTGTCCGAAGGCCGAGCCCCGTGTTAAAGACAGGCTGTGCACACAGACTCTCTTCTTTTTCAGTCTTAAAAGAACTGAGGAGAAAGAGGAGGAAATAAGCTGGATGTACAAACAGCAAGTTGGGAACTGAAGAAACTTCCAGAAGCTGTGGGAAAGGATAAAAATGAGAAAACCACAGGAGGCTAGAGACTTAGGGCTCAGGTTGGACGGGGCATGCTGCCCAGGGTAGGGACAAGGGAGGTGTCTCATTGCAGCTGACCCTTGAGTGCCTCTAAGGTTTTTATAGAGAGGCGAGAGTGCTCCTCCTTGGCTACCTCCTGCCTGCTTCCGTCTATGCCCTCCCGCCCTTCCCATCTGCTTACTTAGAAAGCAGAGAAGGAGAAACACAGAGACTGGAAACTCCCTGTCAGATTCAAAGTTTCTGCAGCATACTTCCCGAGTGTCCTTGGGTGTTGGCTGACCTCAGGAGTCTCAGTTTCCTTGATAGGGTCAACTTTACAGGGTCAATTGCTTTGTACACAGAAGGTGCCATGCTGGGTGTGCTGGTGTCGCCTATAAATTCAGTACTCGAGCGGAAGCAGGAGGATCAGGAGTTCAAGGTCATCTTTGCCTACGTAGTAAGTTAGAGGCCAACCCAAGCAACATGAAACCCTACCCCAGTGTTTCTCAATCTGTGACGCCTTTGGGAGTGGAACAACCCATTCACAGGGGTCACCTAAGGCCATAGGAGAACACAGATATGTACATTAGATTCATAACAGTAGCAAAATTACAGTTATGAAGTCACAATGAAAATACTTTTATGGTTAGGGTCACCACAACGTGAGGAACTGTCTTAAAGGGTCACAGCATTAGGAAGGTTGAGAGCCCCCCCATCCTACCTCAAAAAGGAGATGGGAGGTGGTGTTGTCCATATTGGCTAAGACCTAGTTTCTCCAGAAGGTTAAGAGATGAGGGAGGACCAGATGCTATGCCAAGAATGTCATTTAGTGACAGAGCACTTGTCTAGCATGCGCGAAGCCCTGGGTTTGAGCTCCAGCACTGAAGGAGCACAAAGCAGCCGCTAGTATTTTACTCTACCCAAGTCTGTTCTCTGTCCATTAGCCCACAGGCTGCCAAGCTCCTGTCACTCTTGCTCTTCCAGTGATGCTGGCAGAAGATAAGAAAACAAAAGATATCATTACAGCAGGCAGCAGCACATCCCCTGAAGGTGTATCCATTTTCCTTGTCCTCCGGACCCTTCAGAATTGACACACAGACCCAAAAGCGGGCTTTGTGTGCAGCAGGCTTCCATTCCAGCATGAGAACACTGAGCTTGAGGGAGCCGCTGTTTATCCTGTGAGCCGTGAGCCAACTGCAGCTCCTGCCTCAAGGCTGCTACCTGCAGCCACAGCCCAGGGAAATGGCCCCAAAGGCAGGAGTCAGGACTCTAAGATCTCAGTAAGAATAAGCACGAATGCTACTGCTTCCCGCACTGTGCACCCCAAGGACTGGCTCCGTCACACAAGGTGCTTCAGTGGATCTCCCTTCTTCCCTGCTGGCCTAGGTAGTCCTGGCCAACCTGCTGACCCTGACATAAACCTGCATGAGACCCTAAGAGGAGAGAGGGTAAGGGATTTGGATAGGGCATTCAATCCCTATCAAACACCTTCCCGTGTAGAGACTGGCATCAGTTCAACCCTCCGAAGACTGGCTGGTCTAGAGTAGAAACAGAGAGGAGTCTCCAGGATTCCAAGGTGGTTGGCCTAGGAGCTCGGTCAATAGCCAAACCGGGGTGTCCAAATCTTACTAAGTTAAAACATATAGTGGTCAGACTGCCTAGGTGAAGGACAAAGACACGGGGACAATGAGTTCATTATTTTTCCTGTTTCTGGGACAAAATGCCTGAGAAAAGCAACTTACAGAAGAAAGGTCTTTGGCGCATAATCCGAGGATACAGTCCATCATGGCAGAGGAGACATGCTGGCAAGGGGCAGGAGCAGGAGGCCACTGTTGGCACTGTAGCCTTAGCCAGAGGTAGGAAGATGAACACCAATGTGAAGTTCACCATTCAGCGCAGGACCCCAGACTCTTTAACAGTACCATGAACATCCATGGGAGGTCTTCCCAGCTTAGTCAAACCTCTCAGAGTGCAACCTCATGGATAGATACACCAAGGGCTTGTGTCTGAGCTGACTTCAGCCCTGTAACTTGGCAATGAAGATCAGGTGTCCACTATGGATTGGGCCATTGAAGAGAAGCTGTAGATATAAGGAAAAGAACATCTGTTCTATCAGGATTCCAGGCACTGTTCCCTGGGAGATCCCAGATGGTGCCTCTTTCTCTCACTAGTACCCCAAAGAGCATCCCTTCACGGGGTCATCCCTCTGGAGATGTCTCTCAGTTGCTGGCCGACGCTGGCAGCAGTTATAATAAAACAATGTGCAATGGTCTGGAGGCTACTGTGGAGTCCTCGTCCTCCTTGTCCCCTCAGCTCTGAGTTCTTTTCCAAATGACAGTCCCCTACCCAGGAGTGTGTGTGCTGAAAGCCTGGACAAGTCCGAGTCTAGTCACACGGCAGGCCCTTCTGCCTCTGCTCTGGGCTCCCACCCTACATGTGAGGTGCCCCCCCAGTCCAGTCCCCTACTTCTATTCTCCAGCTGAGGGGGGGCTCTCTAGGGAGAACTAAACCTCTTGACCTGGCCTTTCCTCCTCCCTCTTGAAGGGCCATGCATCAAATCCACAGAACCCGGTGCAAATGAAAATGTAAAGCCTTTGGCACATGAATTGTTAAGAATTTCAAGTCATACATAAGACCAAACTGGGCCTTTCTGAGGGCGGCATCCAATGCAGCTGCTCAAGTCACACCTCACAAAGCTGGCCCAGGGCAAGAAATTTTTTCATACCTGCACGGAAGCTGAGAGCCCAGGGCCCTCCTTTCCTGGTACAAGACACTCCATGGGTGCTGTTCAGACCTGCTGTCTTAGCATCCAGCCAGAAACTCCCTTCTACTCTGTCTCTCTCGCCTGCTTTTTCTCCAAGTGGTCTCTGGACAGCCCTGAAAACGATACAGACTGTAGGTTCTCGAATTCAAGTTTGCATCCAACTCTCCTGGAATACTGTGTATCTTGAATAAATGTCAGACTGAGAATCTGTATTCTGATAAAGCTGATGCAGCGACTGAGAACCGTGGGCGTCACAGGAGTCCTTAACCAGGCAAATCTCACTGTCCATGGGCCCGATCAGACTAGGGGAGGACTGGTTCCAGCCTGCTCTAGCCTGCTCTGATTCTGTCTATCCCCCTCACCCCATGCCCGACTCTCTCTAGGTGACACTGCAGCCCAGAGTCCTCGCAGAGCCTTCCCTATGCTGATTTCCTGTTTTCCCTTTCAGCGTGGTGAACCAGGATGAAAAGTCATTTGCCATTGGGGTCCAGTTCTTGTTGATGCGCTTGCTGGGTAGGTAACTAGGCTTTCTTTCTGGGGTGGAGGCCCTGGACCATGGACGTCGAAAGGCTATGGAGTGGGGCAGGATTGGGAGAAGCCCTGCCTCCCGTCTGCTGTATAGGGAGCTGTGGATAACCAGCATCAGGTACCAAACTCCAGCAGGAACAGTTTGCCTAACTGCTTGAGATTGGGAAAGATTTTGTCTACGGCATTCAAGCCAAACTAAATCATGTAAGCAGAGGAAAAGAAAAGGGCATCGCTGAGAGTACCGCATACAGAGTTAAAAGCAGGTATTTGTAAACTTTCGCCAAGAATCCGTCCTAGGAAACAACACCTCACATTCCTGCCCCAGACAGAGCAGCTTCTGGGCTGGGCCCTGGCTTTCTTCCCCTTTTCCAGACTTTACTCCTCTGCCCTGGTTTCAGCAAATGTCTCTTCTGTCGGGGGCCCTCTGCCTATGAACCCTGTTTGTCTTCAAGTAATCTCCACACTCAAGCTGTGTGTACACATGGTCAGCAGAGACCCACAGGGAGGGAGCACTCCATGGAGGGAGCACTCCATGGAGGGAGCAGGAGGCATCTGGCTTTTTCCGAGTGCTAGAAGGGTGGACAGAAGTAAAGAGATTAAGTTCAACAGAGGATCTTTGCACTAAGAATTGCAGGGGTTGGATTTGGAGATTCCAACCTGAAGGATTTCAATTACTATTAATGTGAACTGCCTTAACACTAAAACCTATATGAAGCTTGTTCCGCAGTATTTATTATTATTATTATTACTATTATTATTATTTCACTGGTTTTTCAAGACAGGGTTTCTCTATGTTGCTTTGGAGCCAGCCTTGGAACTAGCTCTTGTAGACCAGGCTGGCCTCAAACTCACAGAGATCCACCTGCCTCTGCCTCCCGAGTGATGGGATTAAACACATGTGCCCCACCACCTCCCGACTCTGTTCTGCATTATTAAGCAGGAGTGCAGGTCACAACCATTATCCTTCTAGCATGTGTCAACCATCCCTTCTAACGTCAACCACAGGAGCCTATGCAGGGCCGAGCCAGCATTTCAATAGAGTTTCTTGACTCATGCCACTTGTCCTGTGATGAGGTCCCTTTAAGTTCCAAAGGACACTCTAAACGATGCCTGTCACCTTTCTGGGCCACACAGGGGACACACACAGCTCCTTGTATTCACTTCTGATTTACCATCTCAAGCTCATTTATGACTTATTCTAATGCCTGGTTGGGAAAGAGACCTGGCATTCCTCCCAAATGACTTCCTGCCTTGCTTCTATTTGTGACTTAGAGAATGGCCTCTCTGTCCTACTGCTCCAAGCACTTGCTGCTTTTGCTTTTCCACCTGAGCTCAGATAACTCAGCGTGGGACCACAGCTAGAGAACGCAGGCCTCGAGAAATTCCACTCATTGCTCCAGAACACAGCTTCACTCTGGGGTAGATGAAAAGATTGCCTATTTATAAACTCCAGCAGGTGTGCAGTTACCCACGGAGATATGGTTGAAAACTCGCCTTGGCTTCTATTGAGGATGTGTCACCAGAGTCTGTTTCCAGTCACTATCCACCTGGAAACTGGAAAGTGACCAGGGACTGAGAGGCTGCTTCTGGAAATTTCTCACTTATGGGCTAGGGCCAAGGGCTGGCTCACCTCTTTCTTCCAGAAACAGCAACTCACAGGGTGTTGATAGATGTTTTTGGCACTATGTTTCTAAGTACGGCATGACCCATCCCCAGTGTCAGTCCTGGTCAAGTTCATTCTGACCCACTGGCTGCCCAGAATTTAGCCAACAGCACAGAGCATGGTGGGGTTGAGGAGTAGGCATCTAGAACATTCAGCACCCAGCAAAGCACTGTGCCTACTGGACTATGTAGACATTACCACCCAAGTGCTGGGATGTTTGGCAACCTAGGTTCTGAGCAGTTTGGATATTAAGGGTTCTCAAGGGGTGTTGTCTAGTCCAGAAGAGCAGTTTAGAGGGAAGAACATAGGATTTCAAGTGGAGTTCAGTGCATCCTTGTAGTCAAAGGCTGTTCATTCGTTTCCCGGCCGCCCAGGCCTGAAATAACCACTCTGAAACTATGTTAATTGCAATACTGTTTGACCAGTAGCTTAAGCATATTGCTAGATAGCTTTTATATCCTAAACTAACCCATTTCCATTAATCTGTGCATCACCACGAGGTCGTGGCCTACTGGCGAAGTTCCCAGCTGGTGTCCGTGTCTTTCTCCTCTTGCAGCTATGTGGTATCTCACTGTCTCCACCTACTCTGTCCTCCTCTATCTGCTTGGAAATCCCCTGCCTTGCCCTATTCTGCTCAGCCACTGGCCGAAACACATTTATTCATTAATCAATAAAAGCAACACATAGAAGGACGTCCCGCACTGCAATCCTTGTGCCCTCTTGCTCACTGGGCACATTGTAATGAAGCCACCTGGAGACCACGTGAGAGCTTGGGGACATTAGTACTCTCCGTGTAGAGTCTCTACTTGGGGCCAGCCTTGAGCGTGAGAACTGAAGTGTGCAGTGTGGGAGAGCTGACATCAGATTGACCCTGGGATTCAGTCTGCCCTGAAAGGATCCCCCTTTATCTCCTAAGCCTTCCAGTGAGAAGAGGATTTAAGCTTAACCGATAGTTTTCCACTTTCCCAAGTCACTGTGATTCTGAGAGGGAGTAGAGCCGGCCTCAGATGTGTGACCGTGCCATTGGTATGGGGGACCCGGGCATCTCTGACTGCAGCTCCACATGACCCAGACACTCTGAATTCTCTTTCCCATCGTCGCCAGCCTGGCTGCCATCTCCGGCCCTGTATGGTCTCATCATCGACTCCTCCTGTATCCGGTGGAACTACCTGTGCTCAGGGAGACGAGGGGCCTGCTCATATTATGACAACGATGCTCTCCGCAACAGGTGAGGGCTCCTACCCACACTGGTGTCAAAGAGATCCAACCTGTGGTCCCAGCAGACCAAAACAAAATAAAACAAATAGGCATTTGCCTTGTGGCTGTGGTAGGGGCTGTCAGGCTTCTAAGGGACAAGATAGGAGGGATGTCTGCAAACTCTGTCATGGACAAAGAGCAGGGGCCGCTGTAGTACACATCTGTAGACCTGTAAGAAGCCATTTAGGCAAGGAGATAGAGGGCCTGCCTCCTTTGAGATGTCTCCCGAGGTTCTGTCCCTCACGAGCCCATGGCAGCAGAAAAAGTTCACCAAAGGTAAAGGGATGCTGGAGGCTGAGAAAGACTAGGAACATGGGAAGATACCACACAGCCTCCACTGCTCAGAGAGACAGGGTTTGTAGCTCAGCACCCAGCAGAGGTCCCAGGAAGGGGGTCAAACCGATGCCAGTAAGCCAAACCCAGCCATCTCTCTCTTGTCGCCATTCAGTCATCTGGAAATGGTGGGGAAGGTGGCCTTGAAGGGGCTGTACAAGGGCTAGAGGGCTGACAGAGCAGACCTGCAGAGGAGCAACAGGAAGATGCAAGCCCTCCCTGCACGGCTGGGGCAGTGGTGCCACCTCTGGCCCTCAGTGGTACCTCTGGGGAGCAGAGGATCACTAGTGTTGTATGTATGCCCAAAGCGGCCCCCACCTGGGAGATGGCAGCTTGTTAACCGAGTGATGGCCTTCACGGCTCCCAGGCCACTGTGAAAACAATGTCTATCTTCTTGCTGTCCTTGGCCCAGGGACATAGACTGAGGAGCCCTCCTTTCTCTTTCTATCTCACAGGTACCTGGGCCTGCAGGTGGTCTACAAGGCCCTGGGCACACTGCTACTCTTCTTCATCAGCTGGAGGGTGAAGAAGAACAGGGAATACAGCCTGCAAGAGAATGCCTCGGGCCTCATCTGACCCTCAGTCATGGCTACCCCCGTTTCAGAGACTGGATCCTCCCCCTCCACACTAGCCTGTATTAACTGATGTTAACGTGCCTTTCCCTTTTCTTCCTTTCTTCCTTCCTTCCTTCCTTCCTTCCTTCCTTCCTTCCTTCCTTCCTTCCTTCCTTCCTTTTCTTCCTCCTTACCTCCCTTCCTCCCTCCCTTCCTTTATTATTAAGACAGTCCCATTCCTTTGTCTCAGCCGCCTCACCCTCCTGAAGTCTACTCAATGGTTCTTGAGGCCTTGTGCACTGGACTGAATGAGCACTGAACTGGAGGGTCCAGTTTCCCAGACTCCTTGGAAGGGGTCTCCCACATCGGCAGGCTCTCCTCAGCGTTGGGTCCTCCCACAAGACGCCCGTGAGGCAGCCCCTGCTCTCACCAGCCTCTCAGGAATGCTTAAGAAGAGTGAGAATAGGGGTCTGTGTGTTCCGGGCCAGGCCAGCCAGCTCTCCTCTGCCTGGAGCCAGAGTGAGAGGAAGAGGAGGAGGAGGTTGGTTTCTTAACAAGGAACTGGCTGCAGTCCCTTTCCACCTGGATTCAGTCTAGAGTGGGACTCACTAGGGCCTGGCTCCCTTAGTTTCCTCACTTTCTGCCCTCGAGGCTGATTTGAAAGCCACCATTTTGGGAAGTGCAGACCTCTCTCTATCACCTACACCCTGGTATCAGAGCAGGAACTAAGGAACCAGAGGCCAGGTCATTCAAACACTGTTTGCAGGAACCTGAGGCCTCTCTACTCTCTGCCTTTCTGGGGTTCCATTTCAAACTGAGAAAGCCACAAGACGATGACCTAGGGAGGGCCCAGTGTCCCACCCTCACAGTGGAGACCAGACCCTTCGCATTCAGAGACACGAGAGGCCCTCCCCACCCTTCCCTGGAATCAGAAGAGTAGCCTCCCATGGACCCCACTGTCTGGACCTCAGCCCGTGTGCAGAGGAGTAAAGGGAGGCCATCTGAGATGCAGCCAGAGCAAGCGATGGAGCAGAGTGGATGTCACCTGTCACGGTGCTTGATGGCAAGCTGTAGCCCACAAAGAGAGCAGCCAGGTTGGCTTGTTGCAAACACATTGTGTTCATTGACATTTTCTCCACTTCTCACTACCTCTGGGTGGAGGTGGTCACCTTCTGTGGGCCTGGGCTGGAGGCCATTACTGCTATGCAACAGAGGGGCAAAGGCAGAAGCTGAGGAAGGGAGGGTTTTACCAACGACTCTGTTTATTGGCTGAGATGGTGCTTGGCAGGAATACTACACGGTTCTCCAAGAGCTCCCCTGTCAATCTTACCGCTATTCATACTAGGGCCTCCTCCCAGAGAGCGGTAGGTGAGCATCAGGGGCACACTCTAATGCTTGCCAAACATATCGCGTGCCCACAGATTGGCAGAGAAGATTCTGACATGGCCATTCATGCCAATGAGGGCTCACAGACTGACTGTGCACCTGACCTTGAGTGAGAACGGAGAGCTGCCTCACCATGTCTCTGAAGTAGCTAGGCAATTGTCATTGCCCTATATGACATTTAAGTACCTTCCGGAAATGCCTTATATGGAGAGAAGTCAAAAGGTTTATGTCGGTGCGGCCAAGCTGCTGTGCACTGAAGTCTTTGCAGAAGCCATCGTTACTGACAGCGTGCTTTCTGAAGCCACCAGGATTATTTCCACACATCTTGCTTGGGAGGAGGCTGCACACAACCTCACGGGCCAGTTTCAGCATGTGCAAAGGTTCTGCTTGGAACCTGATCCTCTGCAACTAACCCTGGGCTTGCTCACTGCAGTTTAAGCAGATTCTGAAGGCATAGCCTCCAGCCAACTTCACGAACGATGAACGCCAATCTTTAGCTTCTGGGAGATTGGTTGTCTCCACAAGCCTTTATTCTATTGTATTGCTATTAATATATTATAATTTTGTCATAGGTGTAAGTTGGTCATGAATTTGCGCTGTCATGTGTCTATCAGAGAACAGACACAATGTGTACCTTCTGGACAACCTTCCACCTTCAGAGGCTTGTAGCCAAGCGCGCTAGAGGCCATGTCACTCTCAAGCCATCTGCCTGGTGCTGAGTAGGCCCTAGATATTGCTTGTTGTTGTTTGGACCCTGGGCTTGCTTTCCATGCAGGCCAATGTCAAAGACCCATGAGAATGGGCTCTTGGGAGACCCCGTCACTGCCCCTGAGTTTGCCTCCAGAAGTGGGTTTGGTCACAAACAGCTGTATCCATGAATACCATAGTCATAGTTGATCGTTTACTATCATCTAGAAAATCTTGCCTCTTAAATGCCAGAGGCTCTAAGGATCTACTTTTGCCTCAATTAGAGAACAAAGTGTCAGACGCGTTGATTGTATCATGCTCAAGATTGCTGTTACAATTCAAGAACACCCTACACAAAGCCTGAGTCCATGTCTGACTGTAAAAGGGGTGCAGAAAGTCCACTTCCAGGCCGGTGGAGGTAGCCTTTGAACCCTGTGTGGTGGGTCAGCTGTGCATTAGAGACAAATCTGGTCAAACTGACCATGAGCGTTAACCACCAAAGATACCTTTACATTTAAGCAGGCCATAGTAGACCTTTGATCTTTCTCCTTGTTTCGCCATGGAGCCTAGAAGCCCTGGAGAGTCCGAATCAGGGCTAGGGTTCCCTTTCTGGACACACCTACAGCCACAACTATATCTTTCCCTGACACCCCACCTCCCTCGAACCATCCAGCCTCACAAGGGAGGACCCAAAGAATCAGGAATTGAAGGGTCTGCAGGTATTCCCTACCCCACATCTTTTGACTCTTAGAAGAAAAGAGGGGTTATTGCTTTCAAGTATCCTTCAGTCCAAAGCCTTCTGGCAGAATTCTCACCACAGTTCATGATGAAGGTCACACTAGTCTCAGGGTTCTACTTGAAAATGAAGAATCTTAGCTGGGCATGGTGGAGCATATCTTTAATCCCAGGACTTGAGAGGCAGGTGGATTTTTAAGGCCAGCCTATTCTACATAGTGAGTTCCAGGACAGCAGTCAGGTTCACATAGTGAGACCCTGTCTCTCTCTCTCTCTCTCTCTCTCTCTCTCTCTCTCTCTCTCTCTCTCTCTCTCCCTCCCTCCCTCCCTC